CTCAGAAGCATCTGTATATATGAGACCTTCAACTTGATGCACAAAGAAATCTTCAGCATTATGGAAAAAGTACAGCAAGAGAAGGCACTGGGAGAGACAAGTACTCTGGAAGGCAGAAGCTGGCAGCTGGTCACCTCTGGCAACAGAGCAGTTGGGGGAGTCAGGGGGAGCAGGGGATGGGGTAATGGCATCTGCTACAGACCTTCAAAACCAGGAGGAGGGAGGTGAACAAGGCCTTCTTTAAACAATTGACAGAAGCTTTCAAGTTGAAAGACCTGGTTCTCCTGGAGGACTTGCATTAAGATCTGGACGTCTGATGGAAAGGAAACAGCAGTGCACAAGCAGTCCAGCAAATTCCTGGGGTGTGTTCAGGATAGCTTATACAGATGGTAGACAGGCCAACTAGGGGCGGGGAGGAGGAAGAAGCTCTTCTCGACTTACTACTCACAGAGAGGAATTGGTTGAGCATGTGAAGGTGGAAGGTAACTTGGGTGACCATGAAGTGATAAAGTTCAAGATCCAAAGGAGAAGGAAGGAAGGAAGGAGAGTACTCGGGCCAGTACTCTTCAACATCTTCACTAACGATTTGGATTTGGGCGTCAGATGCGGACTAGCAAATTTTGCAGACGACTAAACTATGGGGGAAGGCGGTCACAGTGGAAGACAGGCTGGGGATACAGGCCGACCTGGATATGTTCACAAGGTGGGCAGACCAAAACCTGATGGCCTTCAACGTAGAAGTGCAGGGTGCTCCACCTTGAGAGGAAAAACCAGCATCATACATATAGGCTCGGCAGTGCTTTGCTCGCTAGCACCACAACCAAAAGAGACTTGAGGGTCTTGATTGACCACAAGATGAACATGAGCCACCAATGTAATGCCATGGCCAGCAAAGCAAACCAAACACTGGCATGCAGCCACTGATGCATCTCGAGCAAAACCAGGGATGTCATCCTCCTGCTCTACTCAGCTTTAGTGAGGCTGCAGCTGGAGTACTGCGTGCAGCTTTAGGCCCCCCACTTCAGGAGGCACATGGATAAGCTTGAGAGAGTCCAAGGGAGAGCCATCCATATGATCAAAGGCCAAGACAGCAACCCTTATGAGGAGAGGCTGAGGGACATGGGACTCTTCAGCCTGGAGAAGAGAAGGCTCAGGGGTGACTTGGTGGCAACCTATAAGTATATAAGAGGGGTACATCAGGACCTGGGAAAACAGTTGTTCACCAGGGTCCCCCAAGGGATACCAAGGTCTAATGGCCACAAACTCCTGGAAGGCTGGTTTAGACTGGACATAAAGAAAAACTTCTTTACAGTCCGAGTGTCCAGAGTCTGGAATAAAGTCCCTGCCAGAGGTGGTGCAAGCACCTACTCTGGATTCATTCAAAAGGCGTTTGGATGTTTATCTTGCTGGGATCACTTGACCCCAGCAGACTTCCTGCCTATGGCAGGGGGGGGGGGGGGGGAATTTGTACTTGATCTTGCAAGTTCCCTTCCAGCCCCTAATGTCTATGAAGACTATGGACAGCAAAATAAAGGACAATGGACTTCAGAAAGACAGACTTTAACAAACTCCAGGAACTGTTAGGAAGGAAAAAAAAGAGGTAATTCTGAGGGGGAAAGGAATCCAGGAGAGCTGGTTGTACTTTAAGTGGTGGTGCAAGAGCAAGCTATCCTGGTGCAACACAAGAATGGGAACTACAACAGGAGAACAGCCTGTCTAGACAGCAATTCTTTAAATGAGTTAAAATTCAAAAAAGGAGCCTATAAAACGTGACAACTTGATCATAGTACTAGAGAAGACTATAAAGGAGTATTACATGGGTATACAGGGAGAAAAGGCCAACACACGAGTTGAGATGTAGCTGGCAAGAGACAGAGGCACTAAAAAGCATGTCAGAAGTAAAAGACAGACCAGAGAAACCATAGGTCCCATAATGAATGCAGACAGCAATGTAATTATGGATGGTGGAAAGAAGGCTGAAGTATTTAATGCCTTTTTAAATTCATTTTTCACAAATAGGGGCAGCTACCAGCTAATGAGTACACTTGGCAGCAAAGACAGGGAAGGAGTCTAACAGCTGAAAGTAGCAGAAGAACAGGTTAAGGATAGCTTAGAAAAAAGCAACATGCTTTCAAGTTGGCAGGGCTGAATGGGATGCACCTGAGTGTACTGAATGAATTGGCCGACGTAATTTCAGAGCTATTACCTATTTTCTTTGAGAACTCGTGGGTATCTAATGAAGTCTCAGATGACAGGAAAAGGGCAAATGTACTCCCCAACTTTATGAAAGGGAAGGACGTTCCAGAAAACAACAGACCTGTCAGCCTGACCTTGATACCTGGGAAGATCACAGAGCAGGTCCTCAAGGAATCCACTGTGAAACACCTGGAGAACAGGGTGACCAGTAACAGCCAGCATGTGTTCACCAAAAGCAAGTCACCTGAGCAATCAGATTTCCTTCTATTATAAGGTGACAGACTCTATGGATAGGAGGAGAGCAGTGGATGTGACATACCTTGACTTTGGCAAGGCTTTTGACAGGGTCTCTTCAACCTTCTCATTAACAAGCTAAGGAAATACAGACTAGATGGAAGTACTGTAAGGTGGATACATAACTGGTTGGATCATCATGCTTAACAAGCAGCCATTAATGGCTCAATGTCTAGCTGAGAGGAGGTATCAAGTGGGGCTCTCCAGGTGTCTGGTATTGTTTAGCACCTTCATTAATAATATGCATGATGGGACTGAGTACACGCTTAGCAAATTTGCAGATGACATCAAGTTGGGTGAAACTACAGACTCTTTGGATGGCGGGACTAGGGTCCAGAAAAGCCTGAACAGACTGAAGAAGACATCTACAATCAGATAAGATTCAACTAGGACAAGTGCAAAGTCCTGCATTTGGGCAGGAATGATCACATGCACAAATACTAATTGGAGAATGCCTAGCTAGGCTGCCGTATGGCAAAGAAGGACCTGGGATCATTATCTGAACACAAGTCAACAGTGTGATTCGTTGCAAAAAAAGCCAACAGCAAACTGGGTGGTATTAATAGGAGCATCACTTGCAAATCAAGGGAAAACAATTCTTCCATTCTATTCAGCACTGGTGAGGCCTCACTTGGAGTGCTGTGTGCAATTCTGAACTCCACACTTCAAGAAGGATGTGAACAGTTTGGAAGGAGTCCAGTGCAAAGCAAAAGCAATGATTAGGGGCCTCGGATGCAAGATGTATGAGAAAAGGCTGGAAGAACTAGAGTTATTTTGCCTAAAGAGAAGAATGAGGGGGAATTTGATAACAGTCTTCAAATACCTGAAGGGCAGTTACAGAGAGGATGGAGAGGGGTTTTTCTCTGCAACTGTAGGGGACAGGACAAGGAACAATAGCCCCAAGATTGAGCAGGGGATGTTTAAACTGGAGATTAGGAGATATTTAAAGACTAAGAGGATGGTCAAGCACTGAAAGCAGGCTACCCCAAGATGTCATGGAATCTCCATCCTTGGAAGTTTTCAAACACACTTGGCAGGGATAGTTTAGTCACGGATACTTCTGCTTTGAGCAGGATCTGGACTAAATGACCTTGCAGGTCCCTTCCAGCCCTACTTTCCTATGATCCTACAAACTCTCAGAGGAACTAAGCCATACTTGTCAGTCCAAATGAAATAAGACACATTTCTTTGATTTTACCTGCACCGAGATGCACATACATATTAAAAACAAAGCAAAACATTACACTGCACAAAATGTTCCTAATGTGAATATGAAAGAAATAATGAGATAGCCTGATTAAGCCACGTTAACAAAGGCACCCCAGAAAGCACGCAGATGCTATGGTGACAGCTGCATAAAATCATAGAACAAAGGGATGAACCTTGAATTTCCATGTCTACATTATCAACCACTACTTTTCTAGTGTAAGATTAGGACACTTCGATGTGGGAATGGGCATGGTGAGAAATAAATTCTCTCTCACCTCAAGGCCACAATTTCAAATGTCAATAGTAAGTAAAAGCTATTACTATATACTATATTTTTTGGTGTGTAAGATATGGCTCCCCAACCCCCAAAGTCAAACATTAAACTATGTAACAAAGAATTGTTTAAAATTACTGTAATAAAAGTTGACAGCATTTTAATTAAGTTTATGATATAAAACTTTCCCTGCAATTTTATCTTTTTTGTGTAGGTGAGATTGGGGGGTGGGAATGTCATCCACACGGGCACATCTATAGACCGGACAATACTGGAATAGTTTCTACAACATTTTAATTCAGAAGGCTCTGAAAATCTTTAACAGATTATAGAAATAAGATTTCACTCCTGCACTAATGAAATACTGCTACTTTGGGGAGGAGCAGGGTAGGGAAGGGGGCGCGGGGGGAAGGGAAACAGTAGCTATTCTCCACCAAATGATTCTACGCATATTTTTGGATGGGGTTGACTAATAAAGTCAACAGGTTTGACTACCATCATTAAACAGGCATCCATAGAAACAAAGGCCAACAACTCTTAAATCACAGTGTCAGTCACAAAAGATAAGGAGTATTTTGGTGACTGCAACTTTGTACAGGTATTACTTGTGTAATGTCTGTTCTATTGGAAAACATCATTCCTTTACAGTTGTCAATCCAGCATCTTTCCCCAAGAACCACCTACAAAGAAACAGGTTAACTGCCAGGAAACGCAAGAGTTCAATACTGCTTAAAGAAAAATATATTTTAAAAGGATGTGTGTTCCAAATCTGACAGCTGTCTGAATAATATACCATGATAATTTAAAATCAGAAGAGTCAGACTCTTCACTGAGAATAAGTCTATAAAACTGATAGACCATGTGAATATAATGAACAACAAATCACATTATGAGTGAAACAATGTAGTTCTCATTTTGATTATACAGTATGTTATTATTTGAGAAAGTCATTTATAAAATTTAGAATTATTTAGTGTTATAAGAACAACCTACATAGTTACCAACATTTAAAAGACAATCCACCTACCTGTCAGTGAGGCTCCTCCAGAGCTGTGCACCTGTAATTAGTAGAGCATATGTTGAAACACAGCACTGGTTTATACAGTATGCATGGGTCCCCTCCCACCTGTTTTCCAACAGTATTCCAAGTCATGGAAAAAATTACTGTAAATCTCTGTAGTACAATAAAACACCTCTAGTTTATTCAGTTTGTTTGCCTGGGCTCAGTCTCTCTTCCTACTATACAATGGAATAACAGGTTTTTGGGAAAAAAAAGGAAAAAAAAAAAAAAAATCAAACTTCTCCGGAATATTTCAAAACTGTTTTGATATACCAGGATTACAAAAAGTCAGTGTCTTACAATAGCCAACAAACTGACAATCACTGTATATTCCAGTGTTGCACTAGTCTTGCCATCTAGCAGATGGCTGAAGGCCTGTAATGATTACACAAAAGTATTTATCCTATCCTGAGGAAAGAAGATCCTTAATTAGTGTGGTAATTCCCAAGTTTCATATAAGTAAGGTTTCTGCTACAAGACATTTATGAAGATAGCACCCAATTAGTGGTTTTAATTTCCCTGAACTTCTCTTCTGAGATCACTGGAGAAATTTCATAATAGCCATAGTGAAATAACTAACTATCCCATGACCTCAGAACTAGGAAATAAAGCTTTATTGTCTACATCTAATTCTGCTGAATTGCCAAATAACGTATTGACAGGAACAGAGGGATATGATTAAAGATAAGATTTCTGCATTTATAATTTGTTCAATAATATATGGTGACAGAAACTATTAGGTGGTAATGATGTCCATGAAGGAAGCAGTCAAACAAATTAGATAACTTAGCACAGTGTTTCCCAACCAGTGTGCCATGGCACAAAAGTGTGCTGTCAGAAATGAACAGCTGTGCTGCAGAATTTTGCTGTGGCAATGAGCAACAACAGGTATGAGGATGGGGAATGCCTTAACAGGTGTGACATGGAAAATTGTTATTAATGCAAGTGTGCCTTGGGCTGGAAAAGGTTGGGAAACACTGACTTAGCAGAAAACAAAGCAGCCTCAAGCACTTGAGCTGAAGCAGCAGCACAAGTAAAAAAAGAAAAACCTGTGGTTCAGAAAAGCATTTCTTGGCTTTTCTGTTACTTTTTAGGAGACTTAAGACTTTCTAAAAATTAAACAGTCCAACCACGAAACAGTCCAACCACAAGCAAATATAACCCATAACAATCTTATAGGCAATAGACGTGGTAGGTGTACTTGAGTTACACATCATTTGGCTGAAGAATCTTTACATTAGTATTAAAATATAAGTAAGAAAATTCTCAGCACACTTGACCCTGCTGACAAAAGATGTTAAATATGCTGGGAATCCCTACTGTAGATGGGCTGAACGTCAATCAATCTTGACCTGGTCTTTTGAAGTATTATGTTTATTATAACTGCACCACTTGAAAAGTTCCTTAAGGATGGCAGACTGTCTAATATCAGGGCTCTTGATGCTGTTAGGAGTAGTGAACTTAAGAGCTGTTAACAAAGTTACTTTAGGCATAGATGCATTTCTAAAACTGTGGTTTCAAAATAAAAGTTTGTAAATAAAGTACATTTACTTTAGAAGTTAATGAAATAAACATGGACCTTCATTATGCCATTTTTAGTCACTTTTCAAAGCAAAATTTATTTTTAGCACTTCAGAGATTCTTTTCTACTTGTTTTGATAATGCAAGACCTCTTTACTGCAATATTAGATATACAATCAAGACAAGCAAGCAAAAATGACTGAGCTGACAAAAGGTGCATGCAAATACCTGTAAGAGATGAAGTCTCTGAAAAAACGCACTGCCTTACCTTTTATTCTAGACAATACCATATCCTTTACGATCTGCATTATTACAACACCGAGTATTATGAGAGAAGTCAGGTGATACACTCTCCAAGGGGTCAGTGCAAGGAACCTAGATTTTAAATGGAAAAGCAAAAAAAATTACTGAACTCTGAGCTTACAGTGAGTTCTTATATGCAAGTCTAGGATTTTTATCATACCCAGATAAAATAGAGAAAATACATGTGAACTGACAATGCATTAATACTTATACTAAATTTGATCATTTCACATGGTTACTGTCAAGAAGCAAAACATTTCGAGTAATTAATTACTAGAGGTGCACCATATCGGATCAGGACCAATATAAGGAAAACTGACATTATAAGCAATTGGCTTTTTTTAGCCAGTGTAGCTGATAATGTGCATGTGTGCCGCTGTAGCATGCACGTGGCCAAAAATGCAGCTGAGCAGCTTGGAGAGCAGTGTCCATTCCATAAGTTGGGGGGGCCCAGCCGAAGCGGGGCATGGGGTGGAGCTGTGAGGGGCTCATCTAAGGGGCATGTGACCCCTGGATTTGTATGCTGGGTGAGGGAAGGCTGTCTGCTGCAGGGTCGGGGCCAGGGGCTGTGCTGGCCTCTTCCCGGCAGGGGGCAGAGGCACTGCAAGGGGGCGATGGTGAATTTTGGGGTGGTTGTAGCCCAGCGGTCTCCAACCTTTTAAAGTAGGAGATCACCTTTGGCATTTAAAAGCACCCCAAGATCTACCATGCGCCACCCCACCCCCCCGCAACAGCAGGTAAGTGTGGGGAGGGAAGGAGGGGGCAGATTGAGGCAGAGGGAGAAAAAATTATTTGGGGGAGCGCTTCCTCAGGAGGTAAGTCCCACCCAGCCAGGCCCCCACTCAACTTACCCCTGTTTCTGCCTCTGCATCACTGTCCCTCACCACAGGGGCCTTGATTTAGCCCTCGTCCCTTCCCTCCCCCATGGACTGACCTGCTGGGCTGGGACGCATGCATGCATATGGGCACTCAACCCCCCCACCCCAGCCTTGGATCGACTCTGAGATCTTCCGCGAAGAGACTCTGAGATCTACCAGTGAATTGAGATCTCCTGGTTGGTGACCACTGCTGTAGCTTATTCCATAGCCCCCCCAACCCCGTCCCAGAGCTGCTGCATCCCACCCTAAGCACAGCCCTAGCTCAGCCCCGCCACTGGGAAGAGGCTGGTGCAGCCCCTGGCCCTGAGCCTGCAAGGGGCAGCTCACCCTTGTCCCATGCACAAGTTCAGGGGACACATACCCCCCATGTCTCTCCTAGGGTGCACACAGGGTGGTGAGCTGCCCCCCCTCCAGGGTGCACTGCCTGGACAAGCCACCTGCGGCTCTGTCCTGTGCCCTGCTCTAGCTGGGTAGTGCCTGCCCCTGCTCCAGCCCTACTCCCTCCCTCACCATGGGGGCCTTCATCTGCCCCCATCCCAGGCCCCTTCCTCCCCACAGACTTACTGACCCATCGCTGCTGTCCGAGCTACCCGGGTGCATATCGGTTATTGGATCGGTATCAGCCAACATGGCTGGCTAATAAATAGGCCATCAGTATTGGCCAAAAATATCTTTATCAGTGCACCCCTATCAATTACATTAATTATAAGCTTGCTTACATAAGCCCCATTTCAGCATCTCTTGGTCTTTACTATAGAAATCACCTTTAAAGAGAAAGGTACTTAACCCTAGAAAAAAAAATTAAGCGTAAATGTTCTATGGGTATTTTTCATTTTTTCCTTCCATGAAGAAGCTGAAGTTTAATTGCTTAGATACTATAACTTAATGAACTACTTTTCTGTTTTTACTAGCATGAAGGAAAGGGGGAAAAGAATAGACCAAATGCTTCTCTGAATTCCAGTATCAATACTTTCCAATATTTTAATCTACAAGCCAAATGATGCATCTTGACACCATGATTAAATAAAATTATATCGTTCACTATATATCAAAATTTGATTCTGAAGTAATCTAGTTTTACCTTTTATTTTTTGCTACCTATAAAAGCAAGTCTCACATGGACTCCCAGACTGATTTACCATACCAACCCCTCCTGCTTTTAGCATTCATGAATGTTTAGAGATTAGCACCCTTTCCCATTTTACTAGCAAGTATTTTACCCCTTCAAGAACTGATATGAAGACCAGGGTGGGTAAAAATTATTTTTAAAAAAAATCAGATTTTTTTTAATCTATTTTTTTTTTGTTAAGATGCTTTTAAAAAAAATAAAACCTATATAAAACTATATGTTAAAGCTCAAAAATATCATAATGGAATAGGGATTATAACTTCTAATTATATACTATTTGAGACAATATATTCATATAACCTTTTCAGAAAAGTTTTATACATAGGTCACAACAGGCCATGGACTGTATTAGGGGCCCAACCTTACGGGCTTTCCCAGAGGCTCCTCTATCAGATTAAAGAAAACCACACTACCTGATGGGACTGTGCTCAGTCTAGAAGATCCCATTAAGCATCTGTGATGCTTAGTTTCAGTTCTTAAACTGTGGATTTGCCTCTCCAGAGATAACATCCTTGTTAACAGCAATGCATGGACAAGAGAGATAACAGACCTGATTATGTACCCATCAGCCCCATTATCTCTCTGCAAGTTTGTGTACACAGAACAAGCCCTTGCCTCTCTCTAAAAGTGCAGTTTCAAGAAGTTAAATGAATACAGGATTATGGGGGGTAGAATAGATCTGGGCAAGGAGGAGTCTTGAGCTAAATGCAAGGAGGGAAGGGCAGTAGAAACAAGAAGTATTGTGGGATAAGTTCCTGAGTATAGTCTCTACATTGATTTGAGATCTAGTGAGTGAATGGTAAGATAGAAAAGAAAATCTATCATGGCAGCAGGCTTCCAAGGCCGTAAGAGAGAGAAGAAATAAAAAATGAGAAGAAATCTAAAAGAAAGCCCCAAGTTAAGAACATATAGCTGCAGTGCTCATTTGATATCCTCCTAATATAGCGTGGCAAAAATATCCCTCAAATATCCATGATTAATCTAGTGAATTGGAGATAGTTCACCTCCCAATGACTTCACAAGTATCTGCTTCAATTAGCTTTGGTAAATAAAATAACCAAATCATAATTCATGTTTTCTGATGTAGCTGCAAAATTAATATGAAAAAATATCAAAATAAATCACTGCTTTAAAATGTATAATGTGTACCTTCTAAAAATGAAATGTTCCTGAGTTGTGAATAAGGCACTATCCAGCACCTTTCAAGCCGGCAGGCTCTATTAAATCGGCATGCCAGCTTGTAAGGGAAAAGCGAAAGCGGAAATGCCCACCGTGGCACTTCCGGTTTCACCAAGCCCTGACAGCCCAGGGCAAAGCCGCTTGTGTGGGACCCCACTCCCTGTCCCTCAGGGCCCGTGGGAGGGGTGGCGATGCCCCAGACGCAGCAGGAGAGGTGGCAGCCCAAACAGGCAAAGACGCCTGTTCGGGCCACTCAGTTAACCAGCATATTTTGTTATCCAGACCCCCCATTCCCCAACGGGTGCCAGATAACAAAGATTTTACTGTATTAAGGTTATATCAAACAACAAGAATGCATTTTTTGTAGGAAAAAAACAATTAAATCGAGGATTCCTGACCAGTGATTTAAATCAATTTGATTGTTCCTGAGTTGTGAATAAGGCACTATCCAGCACCTTTCAAGCCGGCAGGCTCTATTAAATCGGCATGCCAGCTTGTAAGGGAAAAGCGAAAGCGGAAATGCCCACCGTGGCACTTCCGGTTTCACCAAGCCCTGACAGCCCAGGGCAAAGCCGCTTGTGTGGGACCCCACTCCCTGTCCCTCAGGGCCCGTGGGAGGGGTGGCGATGCCCCAGACGCAGCAGGAGAGGTGGCAGCCCAAACAGGCAAAGACGCCTGTTCGGGCCACTCAGTTAACCAGCATATTTTGTTATCCAGACCCCCCATTCCCCAACGGGTGCCAGATAACAAAGATTTTACTGTATTAAGGTTATATCAAACAACAAGAATGCATTTTTTGTAGGAAAAAAACAATTAAATCGAGGATTCCTGACCAGTGATTTAAATCAATTTGATTTAAATTAAATCTACCATGAGGAAGACTCTAAAAATCAAAAATCTGCTCTGTAAAAAGTTTTTTTAAAACATATTTCAGCATGTTAAAATCTTTGTACTAAGTGTTTTTGAATTTTGTCAATCATAAATTTCATTAAAGTGAATCAGTGTGCTAAGCACCTTTCTTTAAGCTTAAATAAAAAACTGCATTAAATGTCCCTGTATGTAGGGATAGCTGGAAGTAAGGCAGCCTGACCGTAATGCCAAACAGAAACTAAGTCATGTGAACAAATGAGATTTCCAAGACCTGGCTGTAAACACAGAGTTGGGAACTTATCAGCTGCAGCATATTTGTATAACAGAGTGTCGCAGCACACTAAGGTGCCCTGCTCCTTTAAAGAGCTGAAACTGCTAGGGAGGGAGCCCTAGCAGTGAGGTGGAAGCTCCAGCTGCTGGTTACCAGGGCAGCCAGAATGAGGTAGTGGCCCACAACTGTCAGCGGTCAGCTGACCGGAAGGGGCAGGGCCTGGCTCGTATATAAACCCCAGGTCTGAGGCCAAGAAGGCAGTTCCCTGCCAGCAACCAAGGGGGAAGGAGCTCTCCCAGAGCAAGCAAAGGGGAGGGGCCTGACTGCACAAGCAGCTCCTGATACTGTTGTGGGACGGAGTATTCCCCCGTAGGGTTTAAATGATGTTATAACCGGGTGGCTTGAGTTTATGTTACAGCCCAGGGGCTTGCGTTTTGTTTATTGTTGTATAACACTGGTGGTTTGGGTGAGGCTATTAGGGGAAGGAGGAGGCCTCATAGGGGACCCACAGCAGTGTGGAGACCCCAGCGCAAGAGACGGCACAGCACTTTGCGGAGACAGAGTAAGACAGGGCTGCAAAGAGCACAAGCGCCAGTGAGGCGTGGAGCAAGACAGGGCTGCAGAGAGCCGAGGGAGGACAAGGGGGCCAAATTATAACAAGGCCCAGACCAAACAACGTCAGTACCATCAGTGAGGCTTGGGGCGTGGTAAAGGGGCGGTTGGACCCACGCATAGCCCATAAGGC